GAACATGTTTTTCTAAACATGGCACTTCTCTAAATGGTCTTTGTATTTCTATTCGAGAAGCATAACGCTTGCTATAGACTTCAACTATTTCTTGTTTGAAAGAATGATAGTCAAGGGGATGTAAATAAAGAGAGGCCACCATCAAATTGAGATCCTGTAACAGCCAATGTTTTGATCCATTCTATCCGCTCCTCCCATGTGCTGGTTATAATGTTTCACAACTGTGTTGTGTGTACAACAAACACAGTGTATAAATAAACATAAATAAATGTATTACACACTGTTGCATGTGTTTTTATCGTGGTTACTATTAATGTTTTGCTGTTATTATTGCTATTGTTGTTATTATTGTTGTTATTGTTCATATTGTTGTTATTATTTTTTGAAGTTTGAAGGGGTAATGATGACAAATCTATATGATGTTGGTGCATTTGTCCTGGAAGATGAAACAATAATAATGATATTAGTGACGAAGATGATGATATTAAAGAAGATGATGATGATTGCGACAACGATGTTGTTGTCATTGTTGCTTTGTTTATGATGATGATATTAATGAAGATGATTGGGACGATGATAACGTTGACTTTGCAGATAATGCAGCTGACTTTTATGTTGATGCGTTTGTTAATGTTGAGGTCAACAAAGGTACTAACAACGGTGGAAATGATGCAGATGACGGTGATAGAGATGCTGAAATTGGTAGTGATGATGAAAAAAAGTTGAATGATGATGGCGGCAGTGATGAAGAAAACGAAGATGATTGAACGGTTGGTAACGACGATGATAACGATGATGTCGATATTAATAAAGATGACGATAACGATGATGATAATTAACATGATGATGATAACGATGTCAAAATTATTGACGGTGACAAGAAAGAAGTTATTGTTTGTGTGGGTGTTGGTAAAAATGGCGTTAATGATGTTGACGATGATAATGGTTTTGTCTTTGATGATGACGAGGAATGTTAGGAAGTTGAAATAAATGTTGATTGTGAAGATGATCATCGTGATAATGATGAGGAGGAGGAGAAGGAGGTGGATGACAATAATGCTGCTCTTGATTAAAAATTGGATGAAAATGATGGATAGTTTATAAATCATAGAAGATGATGGCAAGCGTGATGATGGTGTTGGTAACAACGATGATAATGAACGATATTGTCAGAATTATGAAATAATACTGACTAAAAATACTGCAAAATTTTCAACGCAAAATTTATTCACTCGATAGGGGGCATGGTGCAAGTTAATTTACTCGATAGGTGACGACGATTTTTTTTGTTTTGCAATTGAGATGACGTCATAAATTATTACAAATTATTTTAAAATTTAATTAGTAGTTTTTTTTATTAATTGGACATACCTTGGAAATTTTTATGTTTTAAAACACCCGAAACAAAATCTAATTTTGCTTTGACAAGGAAGGGTGTGGAAGTGAAGAAGAGACTGGGAGGTTGACTAGTTAGGCAGCTTCGAATAATCGGTGCCTATTCTGCAGTGATGACGAGTACTTAAGTACATTTGTACTTAAGTACGTACTTAAGTACGTACTTAAGTACAAATGTAGCACTTAGATACTTATACTTAAGTACGCATGGGAACCTGTACTTAAATACTTATACTTAAGTACATTTTTCAGTACTTGTACTTATAAGTAATGAATTTTTCCTGTAAGTACCAGAAAAATTTTAAGCAAAAATAAGATAATGTCAACATTTAAAAATTGAAAACTGTGATGAAAACACACACACACATTTTCACATTGACATTCTTGTTTATCTCTCTTATCAACATTTGTTCTTGTTTAGTCATGGATAGCGGGATGTTAAGATAACCATTGGCTAATTGAGTCATTAAAAGGTGGTTAACTCACATCACTCTGACATCTATATATCTATATCATAGACTCTACATGATCTATATACACATGCACGCTATATATAGTAGTTATTATATATATATATATATATATATATATATATATAGTTATTATATATATATATATATATATATATATAACAATCCTTATAAATATATGTGTTAAAGTGTTTTTGTTCACATTTTAAATATACGTGTTGAAGTGTTTTTGTTTACATTATAGATATAGGTGTTGAAGTGTTTTTGTTTACATTATAAATATATGTGTTGAAGTGATTTTGATGAAAATGGCTGATAAAAAGATGCCTTTAGTAGTTAGGAACTATTTTAATGAAGTAGTTGAAGATGATGAAGATGTTATAGTTGCACTTTGTGACTTGTGCAAGCCAAAAAGACATCTTATTCGTGGACAACATAAAGCTCCATCCAATTTTACCAAGCACGTGAAGGTAAATTTGATTTTGATGATATGTTAAAATTGATAAAATGTAGCTTATAAATAAATAATAACAAGAATATAAATTTTATGTATATTATATTTCTATTTTTTTTGAATACATATTAATTAATATTATTTTGTTAATAAATCTCGAATTAACTCTCCATTAAATTTCTATTTATTGCATTTTTCATTTTTATATACAGAAGACACATGGTGAAAATTATCTACAAAAGATGCACGAGGAAGAAAATAAATTAAAGACGGGTAGAAAGCGAGGTGCAGATGAAGAAACTACCACAGTTTCAACTCCATATAAAAAACAACAGCAACTTGACTTATTAAATGTATCATCAATATCAAATAAAAAGGTTGAGGATTTAATAATTAATTTTGTTATCAACGACTTGCAACCACTTTCAATTGTGGAAGGAGAGGGGTTTAAAACTTTGATACAGGGTCTGAACTCAAAAGCCCGAGTTATGTTTACCGAGACATTAAAAGGTATTCTGGCCACAAAGATTACTGATATGAAGAAGACTATTAAAGAGACTCTAAAAAATTTTCAATTTGTTTGCACGACTGCTGACATTTGGACGCAACATGCTCGAAGTTATATTGGAGTAACTTGCCATTTGATAAATCCAGATGATTTTAAGCGCAATGGCGTTACACTTGCCTTCCGTAGGTTCCGTGGAATTCATTCGTATGACAAAATTGCAGCCATGTTGGTGAACATTCACAGCGAGTTTGATCTGGATTCATCGAAAATAGTAAATGTCGTGACAGACAATGGTAGCAATTTCGTGAAAGCATTCAAGGAATTTGCAGAGGCAGGTATTTCTGATGATTCGCAAATAGATGTTGATGATGATGATGATACAGAAATGACTCCAGTTGAGATTGGTGATAAGTTTTTGGTAAGTAATATAGATGACAGCTCCGGAATTTATCTTCTTCTCATGTATCTTGCTTTTCACACACTCTAAACTTGCTTGCTACAACTGATGCAAGTAAAGCTTTGAATAATGATTCAAACTACAAAAGAATATATAGATCAGTATCCAGTAAATGTGTCTCTCTCAGCACCGCATCACACCAGAGTTCAAAAGCTGCTGAAATTGTGCATGAAATCTTAGGCAGAACAATACCCAAACCGAATGGGACACGCTGGAATTCTGAATTTGACTGTTATAGCATTATATATAGTCTTCGCGATAAAGTAAATGTTGTGATGGAACGTTTGCAGCTGCCGAAATTCAGCAATATAGATTTGAGTTTTCTTAATGAGTGGTTGGAACTGATGAGACCAATTTCACTAGCATTGGACAAGCTCCAAGGTGAGGTTTCAATGGAGTCTTATTTTGGTGCTGTCTTACCAACTATATTTGTTATACAGCGAAAACTGCAATCTTTTACTCCATCGTACACTTCAGCTCTTGTTTCTGCTCTTCAATGTGGCATGGATAAACGCTTTGGCGATATAATTGACTTTAAAGATATTTCAAGCAACAGCAAGATGAGAGCATTTGTTGTGGCTTCGATCAGCCATCCGTTTTTTAAAATCAGGTGGATAGAATCATCAGTTCGTGAGCAAGTTGAAGACTTGTTTCTAGCAAAAGTGGTCAGAATGAGCAATTCTTCAACAGTTTATGAAGACAGAAATACTAGAGGTTGTACTAGTGCAGATTTTTATGGATTCCACGAACCAAGTTCCGAATCACGATCGAATGAAAAAGTTGAAGGACTGCAATATCTTAGTGATCCTTCATATGATATGGAACAACTCAAAAGGTAATCAATATTTTTCTGTAATATATTATATATGTATAATATGTATATGCTTGATTTTCTAATACATTTTTATTCTCAAGTATTAATAACAAATTAATAATTTGCTATTTTGGTTAACAACTATATTATTGTTCCTTAGATATCCTGCTGTCGCACAAGTGTTTTTGAAGTACAATACCACTGTGCCATCATCAGCACCTGTGGAACGTATATTTAGCCAGGCTTGAATGATTCTCACTCCTAAAAGAAATCGTTTAAGTGATGAATCATTTGAAACTTTACTTTTACTCAAAAAGAACAAACTCTTTTATTGATGTAAATAAATTACTGTAAATAATGAGTTGATTTCTGAGTTTAATAAATTTATAAATATTTCAAATTAACCATGGTATGTACTTAGGTACTTATGTACTTGGTACTTATACTTAGTACTTATAAGTATCAAGTACACAATTTGCTTTGGTACTTAGCACTTATACTTAAGTACTTTTATTACTGAGTACTTAGTACTTATGCTTAAGTACATTTTTTGAGTACTTACGTCATCACTGCTATTCTGGTCCCTCAGAGACTTAATTCGATACTCTATGCTCATTAGCACGGAGACGTCTTAAGTTCTCAAAGAGAGTCAAGACTGGGTTGACTGGTTAGGTAGCCTCGAATAATAACCTATTCTGGTCCCTAAGAGACTTAATGCGTGATTCTATGCTCATTGGCATAGTTTCAGAAACGTCTTAAGTTCTCAAAAAGAATCAGCCTTGGGTTCACAAGTTAGGCAGCTTCGAGTAATCAGTGCCTATTCTGGTATCTAAGAGACTTAATGCGTGATTCTATGCTCATTGGCATAGTTTCAGAAACGTCATAAGTTCTCAAAAGTGGATTTAGTACGAGACTCTATGCTCATTGGCATAGTTTCGCACGCGTACTAAAGTCACACAATTTGTTTCCAGTGTTGTTCTGACTCTTGTTGTTTTGTGTTGGTTGTGCGAAAGCCGACCAGACTCGACGGCCCAGTGAAAACAAGCCAGGCTTGTGCGAAAGCCGACCGACTGACAGACAGGCCCAGTGAAAACAGGCCCTTGGTCGTGCGAAAGCCGATCAGACTTGACGGCCCAGTGAAAACAGGCCAGGGTTGTGCGAAAGCCGACCCACTGACTGACAGACCCAGTGAAAACAGGCCTTGGATTCTGTGAAAACGAATCCGCCTCGTTGTTTTGTTTTTGTTGTGCTATTTGTGGACCTAGGGTTCTTTGCTGGATCCTATACTCATTAGTATAGTTTTGCACGCAGCTTGGAATTTCCATAGGCTCCAATTTTTGTAATTTTTCTGCATTCATTTTATTTATCTCTCGGAGTTGTATCGACACCACCATCGGTCACACACGTCGAGGTTGTACGATTGAACGGCAAGAAACATATCCCAAGTTGCCCGACCCAACAAGAAGAAGTTCTAGTTCCTGTATTCCAGATTGTTCATTGACTTTATTTTTAACATTATTCTAAAGTTCAGTTAGTTCAATTCCTTTTCATTTACTTCCGTCGATTAATAAAATTGTTATCGAATATTTTTACGCGTTCGCGTGTTACTCAGTAAAATCATATAATTCGAAAAAGCCCAGTGCCACACAGGACTGGTCGAACTCACGATAAAAATATACACAAAAATTATTGTCGGACCATAAAAAAATTCCCTGAGAAAGATAGAGGAGGAGATTACCTCACATCAGTTGTTGTCATCATTTAAAAAATTTCCTCATCATCATTAGTTATCATTACATTTTTTTTAAATTTCCGACAATATTTTGGTTTCTTAATAGCGCCAATACTACCACTGCTACTAGCTAATGGTATTATTACTGTTACTACTTTAACCACTACCACCATTTTTTAGTTCCCACTGTTAATGGTTCATTTTCATTCCGTGCATATGAGCAGGTGTTGTTGATGTTAACTTTGAATTTATCCATAGCGGTTATATATTTTTGTAAATGTTCATGACGTAATTGTTTATGACGTAATTGTCAAAACTTCGCTGGTTGTTAACGTTATTGTGTTATTGTATAGGTTTATTGTATAGGCTTATGTTGAAGTTTCTTATAGTGGTCTCGTTTCTATTAATGTCATCGTTGACAACATCGTCGTCAATGTTGAATGTAATTTGATGCTATTGTTGAAAAATTGTCATTACTCTACTTTGCCAGCCATGGAAACTTTTCTTAACAATGACATCTTAATTTTTTAAGATGAATTTGAAATCGTCAACAAATTTATTCAAACTTCTCTTTGTGTTTCGTATGTAAGGATGTGTATGTATGTATGTATGTTAAAACCAAAACATGATGAGTGACACTGAACCGTCAAACATCAAATAACAAATGGATTAACACTTTGATTTGTCGTTATGCATGTATGTATGTATGTATTAGAGGTCTACATAAAAAATTTCCCGCAAATTTTCCCGCAAATACCCGCGGGAAAACTGCGAGTTGGAAACAGAAGTTGGAGGGAAACTCGCGGGGCGGGAATGAAAAGCGAGGGAAAACCACGGGGCGGATATTTTTCGTGCGAGAAGTACCGCGGGACGAGAAAAATTTTAGAGGGAAAACCGCAGTTGAATTGACTTTGATGGCGAAGTTCCAAAAATGTTGAAAATTAAGGAGAAACTTCATAGCTTGAACAGCAACGAAATTGAAAAAGTTAGATTATTATTATAAGCTAACCTTTGTGTAAAAGAACTTGTGCACGTGTATATACTATTTAATTGTATATGACGGATCATATAGCTACATAATATATAAAAATATATATAGCTACATAATATATATATATATATATATATATATATATATATATATATATTATGTAGCTACACATAATATATATTGGGATTTAATGTTAATTGAAATCGTCAACAAATTTATTCAAACTTCTCTTTGTGTTTCGTGTGTAAGGATGTGTATGTATGTATGTATGTTAAAACCAAAACATGATGAGTGACACTGAACCGTCAAACATCAAATAACAAATGGATTAACACTTTGATTTGTCGTTATGCATGTATGTATGTATGTATGTATTAGAGGTCTACATAAAAAATTTCCCGCAAATTTTCCCGCAAATACCCGCGTGAAAACTGCGAGTTGGAAACAGAAGTTGGAAGCCAATTTTTATGTAGGATATTTAGAAAGCGAAACTTTCAAAAAACATCCGGAACTTAAACCACATATCTATATACGTTACGTAGACGACATTTTTATCTCATATAGCAATCCAGACTATGTTCAACAACTCTTAATGATCTTCAACCAGTCAAAAATTAATTTCACAATAGAACACGAAGCCAATAGATCTCTACCATTCCTTGATGTTCTTGTTAAACATGACAACCATAATTTTACAACTTCTGTTTACATAAAAAATACCAATAAAGGCATCTGCTTAAATGGAATAAGTGAGTGCACTGAAGGTTATAAAATCAGCACAGTTAGATCATTCATCAATCGCGCATTTACACACTCGACAACAGTTGAACATGCTCAATCGGAAATCAAACGTGTCACTAAATTACTTGTTAACAATAACTACGACCTAAATCAGATTGAAAAAGTCATTATTCAGGTTAACAATAAATTCAATAACAACAACAATAACAACAATGATAGATACAACAACATCAACGGCATCTGTAATAACCCTGAAAATAATAGCAACGAAAATAACAATGTCGACACCCATAACAACAACACTAATAATGACAATAATAACAACAAAAAGAAGGATATTATACTGTACTACCGTAATTTCATGTCTTCCTCTTATAAAATCGATGAATTGATAATGAAGAATATAATAAAAAACAATATAATTCCTACAGATCCTAATGAA